CTGTCCCATTGTGGTTCTTTTCTAAAGGCAAGCACAGAGAATGTGAAGCAAGTGTAAGAGCCAACCATTTTCCTTGTTTGAGAACAGATGGTTTATGGAGCAAGAGTTTCTCATGATGGACAAATAAAGGAGCACAATGCATGTGCTTATTGTTGTCTGTCTCCTTGCTGACAGACATAGTTGAAATGGAAAATCATAGTAATAAGCAGTTCAATGCCTTTCCAGGAGAGGCTGACTGTGAAAAGAGCTTTCATGAGAGGAGCCACAGTTCTCAAATGGAGCATGTTTTATCCAGTATCAATTTCTAGTTTAAAGCAGGAGTGTCCCCTACCTCAGATTCCAGTGGCAAAGGAGGGAAGTCTGAATGGGAGGTAGGTAAGGTGATGCTGCCTCTGCCCTGCTTGCAGTCCCAGAGAGGCTCAGGTCTAACACAGCAGCTATTTAGAGCCCTTTCACCTACCTGCAACCCAGAGCTTGCATTACTCATTCCCTGAGCTTCTCCCACTGCCCTCTCACATTTATGTGAGAGAAAAGAGTTCTTACGGCCCTTTTACTTTGTATTCACAAAACTTTAATGCAGCCTAGAGTCATACAAAGTGCTGATAGGATATAATTATGGAGCAGTCTGAATATTGCCCAGTTTTTAGAAACTGCACACTTGCCCTGAAATTAATGCACAATTAAGTTTGCAATTATTTCCTGCCTTTTGGCTCCATGGATCACTGGCTGTCATTGTGTGCTGGTTCCCTGCAAAGCAGCTCAGTAGAGACTTTCCAAAGCACAAAAATAGGGCTATGAAATCACACCATGAAGCATTCAGTTCATGGGATACTACAAGCAGGGGGTTTTCTCATCTCTCAGTCACCACCAGTTGAAGTGGGCACTTGGTGGTGTCCCTTTAACTGATGTTCCCTTTGCAGTCAGATTGGCTGTATTGCAACGTGACAGTTGCAGTATCCATTGCAAAAGAGCATCTCCTTCACTTTGAGAAGCTTCTCAGTTAAATACGCCGCTGGAAATGTGTTGTACCAATAGTCCAGAGATGCATCTAAATATATATATGTATGTAGGTATACAAATTAAGAAGCCCCTTGAATTATGAACACAGTTTATTCTTGGTGACTCCCCATTTCTGAGTTGGTGGACCTTGGGAAGGGTGTCATCCTGTTTGCTGTTACGGTGATGCATTTCTTATACGATACTTTTCTCTCTGCTAGATCCTCTAGCTACAATGCCCTGGTAAAAGATGTACATATCATCCTGTGTTGTGGAAATATTTGTATCCATTTTTAATTGCCCTTTAAATTGCAGGTATGGCATGAACTGTCTCATCCAGTTTGAAGATTTTGCCAATGCTAACGCTTTTCGTCTCCTCAGTAAATACCGCAACAGATACTGTGTGTTCAATGATGATATCCAGGGTAAGTACTGTTTGGAAAATGCAGATTTAACCTTCACCTTGTGATTAAGATCACAAGGCTGTTTATTTTACAATACTCAGATGTGTGATAAAATACAGAGTTTACACATAAGCATTTAAAAACACGAACACTAGCACAGCAGGCCAAGTTGAAAAGTGACTCCCCATTGTTTATAGGAATGTAGCTGTTCATTGCAAAAGTGTTGGTCAAGGGAGAAAATGGATCGTGTGCTTTAGATTATTAAGGTAATTTAGAAAGGCCATTAATTTTCTGTAATTTAGCTAAAACAATGGTGGGGGTTTAACAGTTACACAAGGCTTTCAGTCTCCATGAGCCAGGTGGGCATTAGCTGACCTTGGCATTGTCCTTCTGTTGTTACCCTCCTTATTACATGCACAAATGAGGTTAAACCAGCTTTTTTCCTCTTCATAGATGCTAACTCCAGAGTAATCTGAGAACAGGTGTGTTCTCCTCTGGAGTGGTTAACATAACTCTTGTAGTGCCAAAGAGAAATGACAGCAGCCAAGGTAGGGCTGTAGCCAGCCTGTCTCCCAGGCCCTGGGAGGCTCAGCAGGCACAGAGGGATGGATGCAACCTGCATATTGGTGGCACCCTGGTCTGGTGATGACTTTGTTTTAAACCCCTGGAAAGGCTGTTTGCACATCCAACAGGGACAGATCTTCCCAAGTGATTATAAATAACCAGTTCTCCTCTGAGTCCCTTCATCTTTCCTTAGTCCTGCTTGCAACAAGCAGAATTTCCAAGGTTTGTTTTTTCACTATTTGCAGTCAGTTGGACTTATCCTCACTTGTACTAGAAAGAGACTGAAAGAAATACCAGTGTCATTTTTTCACACAGTGCTGGTTCTTTTCTGAGCACTATGGCTATTACCCATCTATTGCTACCCATGTGGCAGTATTTGGCAGTGTGTGTAACAGCTTGTTCATACCTCTCATGACACAAGAATGAGTAAGACCCTGGTGTGTGGGAATGTGGTTGGTGTAATGGGATGCATGGTCCTGCTCAAAGGTACCAGGCGATATGGCAGATCTGTGGGCCTCTATATAGGTTTTCTTTAGGAACTAGAGTGAACTGGAAAGGTTTCTTAGTGAATTGGAATGGTTTCTTCAATTGACACAAGAAAAAGAGGATATTAAAGCAAAACTGAAGATTCTGTTTGGGAAACAAGAGACTGTATTTTTTATAGTTTCTTTTTGGCTGTAGGTCATGGCTGAATGCCTCAAACAGTTCCTGGAAATGAATCCCCTGGAGGGGTAAACCACATCCAAGAGGATGCTGTAAAACAGCATCGCCATAAAGTGGACCTCGCCTTCTCCCATTAGATATGTGTCATAGTGCATGGGAGATGTCAAGTCCCCTGGAAGTTCTCTGGAGTCCCACCTGTTAAAACAGTAGGATTTTACCTCTTACTAGTGAAACTCCCTTATATTCTCAAATAAGGCATCTAGCTGGCACTGGTTTCACAGTAGTAGGTAAGGAAAGAAATCCTGCTGATCTTTTGCACAGACAAGCAATAGTTTAAGGGAAACAAGCCACTGTTTGAAGGCTTGCTTTATGTAGCTGTCATAAAGAAAAGGGGATTCCAAGTGAGGGTTGTAGTCAGGAATGTGTTTTGAGGACCTTTGGGAAGCTGAACTAACTTGGATCTCCTCAGTTAATTCTGTCTTGGAGAACATGTCAGAGATAATGGAGCTGAGACTGGGGTGAGTAGCCTGATCCCCAGATGATACAAGAAAGGTAGGAAGTGCCATTTTCTCACTTACACCCTCCTGTTGTTTGGTTTCACCTCAGGCTCTCTCTTTTCTAACATGCTGGCATTTCATGACTTGCCCACTTAAAAAAGTGGGAGAGTTCAATGCAAATTGTGTTCTAAATGATTGATGTGAATTGTGCAAAGCCTCGTTTAAGCAGGCCTGATATGTTTTATCCAAGTCAGGCAGGAAAAGACCTCCTGAAGCCTGATTTATCTCAGCTTCTGAGCTGGCATTTTTTTAAGTATATTGATTTAAAAACACATCTTAGGCACAAACAGTGCAGGTTAGATCAGGCCTGAGCTATACTAAACTTGTTGGTTAGTGGGACTCTGAAGGCAATGAGCCTACACACACACAGATGAGATGTGGGAGGCAAGTATAAATTGCTCCACTTAATCTCTCTTAGGCCTCCCTCTTGCTGCCCCAGGGCCTACACGAACAGAAAGCAGTTTAAAATATTAATGCCAATTTTTTCTTTTGGGTCACACAAATTACTGTATTGCCAAATCCACCCTAACCCCATAGAATTCAGGTGAGTCGGACCCTTTCCAGTTCCAGCCAGCCTGCTGATGCTGAGCGGGATGCCTGCCAGGTACCACAAACAGGGAGAAGGTGATTGCTCTGGTTCTGAAAGCCATTAGCCTGGGAGCTAGCAGGAGCTGGCTCGCAGTGCCCACACGTGGGAGCTTCCCATTAAGGGCTGCTTCTCCTTCCTCCATGGGGTGATGACATCAGTCCTTTCCCAGCTCCATCTGGGTTCATGCAAGGGGCAACAGCTTCGATTTCAGCTCTATGGGAGAAAACTGTTTGTCACTTCTTCCTTTTTCCCAGTAAAGTGCCAGGGTGGGCAGTGAAGCCCATAGGAAATTGGAGGGACATGAGAATGCTTTGGATCCTGCTTTCTCTTCCTGCTGTGTCTTTGCTCCACTTAACTGTGCACAGTGGTAAGCAGCAAGTAGACAACCAGGAAGTCTTACTAAGGTGTCAATTCTTGTGCATCCCTGAGACAGGCATCTCTGGCTTCCTGCTTTATACAAGAAAATACATAAAATCATTGAAGGGGCTAGTTTGCAAGAGACTTCTGGACATCACCCAGCCCTCACTCAAATAAAAGGTAATTTCAAACTTAGATCCAACTTTGACATTAGATCAGGTTCCTCAGAGCCTTGTCCAGCCAAACAGTTTTCATCTACAAGGATATTTGCAGTCTCTTTGTGCTACCTGTTCCAAAGTTGTCTCATCTTTCTTGTGCATTTCTCCCCCTAATATCTAATTGGAATTTCCCTAAATGCAATTTGTGTTCATGCCCCTTATCCCTCTGCTGTGCACAACTGAGAAGAATCTGGCTTCTTTACAAACACTTGGTAAGTAGTTGTAGACAGAAATTAGGTGCCCTTTTAGCTTATTCAAACACAGGTTGCTAAGTCCTCTTTGTACACCCTGGTCATATTCACAGCCCTCCTCTGGACTTGCTGCAGTTTATCAATACATTCCTTGTGCTGAGAGCCCCAAACTGGGGATGCTGGTCTAGAGATGATCTCAAAAGTGCCGAAATAGAAAGAAATTATCCCTTTCCTTGACCTGCTGCCTTAACACAGTCTAGCAGGCTGTTTGCCTTCTGTCCCACAAGGGCATATTGCTGGCTTATCTTCAACTTCTTGTCCACTATTACCCCACACGTCTTCTTCTGTAAAGCTGCAGGACTTTGCATTCGCCTTTGCTGACCTTCATGAGGTTTCCCCAAGCCCATTTCTCCAGCCTGCTGAGATCCCTGAGAATGACAGTCATACCCATCAGTGTATCAAGCACTGTCCCCAGTTGGTAATCATCTGTGAACTTGCTGGGGGTGCATTCTGTCTTGTCATACAGGTTGTTAAAAGAACTTTAATAGTATTGGCCTTGTTGTTCCACTTTGTACCACTGACCACGAGCTTTTGAGCCCAGCAGCCCAGCCTCTTTTTCACCCACTTGATAGTCCACTTGTTCAGTCTGTATCTCTCCAATTTGACTACCAGGATCCTTAGGAGATTACCTCAGAGGCCTTATGCAGGTCAAAACAAGCAAGACCTGCTGCCCTCTCCTTGTCCCCATGGCCAGTTGTCTTATCATAGAAGGCAGCTGAGTTGGTCAGGCGTGATTTGCTTTGGGAGATCCATACTGTTCTCAATCACCTTCAAGTACCTACATGTACCTTCCAGAAGATTTGCTTTGTAATCCCCACATATGGGGGTTAGGCCAACTGAGCTGAAATTCCCTGGATCCTTCTTGTGGCCCTTCTTGAGGATGGGTGTGACATTTGTCTCTTTTCAAGAACTGGGAATCTTCCCAGTTACCAAAACCTTTCAAATGGTGACTTTGTAACGCCATTGCCCACATAACATCCTTACGTGCATCTCATCAAGTCTCATGGGCTTCGTCTGTTGAATAATCCCAGCTAGATAGGCAGGAGTCCATAGAAACACTGTAAATTTGCACACCCAAGGTGTGCTTTGGGACTTTTAGCCTTCAGGAAGGCCCTGAGCAATCTCATCTCATTTTGAAGCTAGCCCCACTTTGAGCAGATACTGGACTAGATGCCCTCGAGGCATCAATTCCAACCTTGTTACTTCAAAGAAAAGTTCATTCTCCTGGTTGATCAGTGTGTTACCCTCCATATTCACATAGCAAACAGGAATTCTTAAGGCACAGATTGCTTACTCAGTACTGAACAGCAGAGGTGGTTCAGCAAGTTCAGTCAGAGAAAAATGAAGGAATCTCTAATGTGCTATTTAAATAATTCTATCTGATCAGGTCATTCAAAAGCCTTCCACAGACGTGGGCAGGGCAGAGAGAAAGCCAACTATGTCCTGGCTCTGGGCATCTTCAGCAGTCTTTTAAAACTAGACCTCATTTAACATTGATAACTTCTCAAAGAATCACCAATCTGAGTGTTTCGGATACATCCATATCCAGTTTGAGATGCTAGGAAAAGACTGGATTTCTAAAATCCCCAACACCTACACTGCAAATGAGACTTCTTCAAGGCAATTCAGAATGGGAAACCCCAAATCACTAGCCACGTTAAAACACTCAGCCTTTTGTATCCCATAGTCCTCCCACAGCTAAACTACAGGTCATCACTTCGCAGACCTCTCCAAGACTTCCCAGCATTAGAGCAGTGACTCCTCATTGTTGTTGGATCTGTGACTGCTGACGAGCCCCAAAATATCTCTTGACCCACCAACC